AGAATGCTGCCTGGCTCCTTTGTAACTGAAGGTTGCTGTCGATACTCAGAACAAGTTGCATCACACTGTGCTTGCATTATTTAGTAGCTGATGTGCAAGTGAGGAGAAGACTACGGTAGCTGACCAGATAGGATCCATACAGCATGTTCATTGTACTAAAACATCTCTCTTCTCTTTACTCTTTGTTCCATTTTCAGATTTTCATTAAGAAAATTGGAAGGCTTTTCCTAGCCTGTGACAGGGACAAACATGTTTGTGATTCACACAGAAGAGATTACTGCTCCCCAGTCTTAACCTGTGATGAAAAGCACCAATCCTTTGTACAAACTCTACTGGTGTTAGAGCCAAGCATGCTGTTGCTAACCTGTTTGTTAACCTGGTCAGCCTGAAGTTCTGAGTCTTCCCCAGTCTTGGCTAACCTCAAAAATTGTCACTTGCAAATGTTCCTTGTCCTTTTCCCAGATCATTATAATAAATATATTAAATGACCCTGGCCTATTTCCAAGATCATTAATAAATATATTAAATGACTGTGGTCCTAGTATGAAATATTGAGGCACTCTAACTTTTTACCACAATGAAAATTAACTATTTATTCCCACTTCTTCTGTTCCTCAGGCAGTTTCTAATCCAGGTCAAACTCTGTGCCTCTGATTCTATGCTTAATTTTAATACCCTTTGGACTTTTTAAAAGTTCAAATTGAGAAGCAAAGATTTTTTAGGGTGGTATCTTTTACTGGATGATTGGAAGAGATTTTAGACAAGGTTTAAAGCACAAGGTACCCTTTCTTAGGTGTGGGGGAAAAAACAAGCACAGCTTGAGCTAGGTATTAGCTAGAATAGTGGTACTCAACCTTTTGGCCCTGTAAGACAGATGAGTTCTATGGGCTGGATTTGTGGGGTAGCTGCTCAGATCTACCCCCCTGCCCACAGATCTGACCCTGCACTACCCAGATCGGGACTTGTGCTACCCAAACTGGGTCTGGCACTTCCAGGTTGTTTCATCTGCCAGATTCCCACTTTAGCCTACCCTGTGTACCTAATCTAGTGAGCAGGCCTGTGCCATCCAGCCCCCAAGGCTACCTGTGGGTCCAGAAATTTGGCAGCTTGGAAGTAGCAGTTAACGCTGCCACCACTCTTCCACTGCCAAATTTTCAGACCTGTGGGGAGTCTGGTGGGCCAGATGACATGGCTCCACAAGAGCACCCCTAAGATAGAACAATGGCTTATGTATAACTCTCTATGTAAATAGAAAGAGTTTGCTTAAAGGAATGGAGGAAAGCTGCCAAATAGGACCAAAGAAGTAATATCAGCAGTAGCTGAAAAATGAGAGAAGAACAAGAGAAAGGATTGTGCATCACCATTTCAAATGGTAAAAACTTTAAAATTACAGCACAGCAGCTGGAGAAACAAGCCTGCTACTTAACAAAAGTTTGTCATGCCTCTCTGATTTAATTAGCCTACAAGGTGCAGCTCTGCCCTGCCTTCTGTCATTACATAGAATTTACCAGCTATCTTTGTTAATTTCTCTGGATTTCACAGAAGCTAATGACCTTCTTCCCTCTTGAATGGTTTTGCTTTTTTACCAGTCAGGTTATTCTCTCCACTGGACTCCTTTATTATTTTCTTAATTTATTATTTTACTGGCAAAGTCTAAGAATTCTAATAGTGGTGAGGCACTATTTTCCTTTGCTGAAGCCATGCTCATTATGATTTTATCATATGATAAAATACGATTATCCTGGAATTTTATTATTCTGATTATCATTTAAATCAGTTTATATGTATAGATATAAGGTGTTCTTTCTGCAGTTCTCCAGTTAATTTCCAATGTCTTTTTTTGACACCCGTGAAATTTGCTATCCTCCAATCCTTTGGCATAATGAGCTTTTGTTAAAAAAAAAAAAAAAAAAAAAA